AGATTTTCATCTTTATATTTGTAGAATATTTTATAGTCTAATTTTTTTTTAATGTAATGAAATATGTTGTGCATGGCATTTATGTGAGATTTTTGGAATCCTTTGAAATATTTGCATATACACTCAATTACAAATAAAATGACAAGTCTCTTATTTGTTGCTCATACTAAGTTACCAATCATGCCTTGATATAATTTGAGGTTTGTGACAGTGGAATCTATTTCTTCTTACAAGTAAATTCTAAGGCTTTTCAGTACTTTTAATAAGTTACATTTATCCATTTTGTATTTTTTTTTAAGTTTCAATAAATATTCATGTTAATAAACATAGATCTTTTTTTCCATATAAGTTAGTTTGGATCTCAAATATAATGTTGTTTTGTTCAAGCTTATTATTTTAAATTTATTTTTGAATTAAATATCTATTTTATCAATTTCCTTGTAATTATCAATAATTACTATTAAATCGTCAACATATAAAAGAACTATTATTTTTATTTTTTTGATAGAAGAATATAAGTTTGATTTTGGTGACATTCTTCTTCAAGTTTAGCTCTTATGTGAAGTATGTGTCAATTTTTCTTTGTTAAGCATGTAATATCTAGTGTAACCTATACAACCTTCTTTTAAATCAAGAAATCTTTCCTTTTTATTTCTTTCTTTTAAAACCATCTGAAATAATTATATATACTTTTTTTTCTATCTTATCATTTGAAAATGTGATTTTTACATTAAATTGTTTCAAGTCCCATTTCTTATATGCAACAAGTGTAACAATTGTGTAAATAGTGCTCAAACAAACCACAAAGACAAAGATCTTGTAAAAATCCTATCCTACAACTTGCTCAAAATTCCATGCAATAATCTTTTTTTTATATTTTTTAATTTGTCTTTTTAAATTTTTTTTATTTTAAAAATCTATTTTGCTATGATGGATCATTTTTTTAAAGTAAGTTTGTTATCTTTCAAATATTATTTTTATGTATTGAGATTATTTCTTTTGCTATTACTTTTATATATTCTTTGTTGATGACTGCTTCTTTATAGCTTATAGGATCTTTATTATTACTTAGCTCGGTTAAGAGTGTTAAGTGATCTCTCAATCATGTTGACACCTTTTTGTTTCTCATAAGATACCTCTTTTTTGGTACAAGGTCTTCCAATGATTTTCTTTTCTTGTTTGTTCTTAATTTCTTTTTATGATGCAATGCCAAGTATTGAATTTCTACTTGATTAGGAGCAATGTCAGCTAGATGTAGCTACTAGTGGTAGGTATGTAATTTATCTTTGCAAAATTAATATGTGCCAAAATCTGCTAATTTATCTCTATTGTTAATTTTGTTCTCTACTCAATTGGAATACATTGATATTGAATGCATTTTCTTCTACTAGTAATTTTAATTTTAGGTAGTAGTAACTGATTTGACTTTCATTAGATACTATGTTATATGTTATGAGAATTTTTTGCTTCTTAGATTCATACACTCAATAAGATTTGGTAAGATCATCATATCCTACAAACAAAGATTCTCTAGTTTTATATTTTAATTTATTTTTTTCTTTTTTAAGTACATGTATGTAGCAAATGCATCCAAAATTTTGAAGTTATTTATATTTGATTTCTTTTTTTTATATTTTAGTTCTAAAATGACTTCCTGATTAGCATATATAAGTCCATGATTTATAAGCTAATTTGATGTGTTGATTACTTATGTCCAAAGGAAGTTGGATATTCCTTCTTCAAAGACCATGCTATTTTTTTTTTTCTACCAATGTTTGGTTGTATTGCTTGGCAATCTTATTTTGCTAAGGAAATCTAAGCTACTTAAGTATTCTATATATTCTATTCTTGTCACAATAGGCATTAAATTCCTATGATAGAAATTCACCACCTTTATCACCATCTTCAATCGTTGTTGTTTTTTTTTGTTTTTTGTTTTTTATTTTTTATTTATTTTTTTTTTCTTAGTTCTCTTTCTAAACATATTAAATTTGTCAAATAAATATCTTTTTATCTTCAAGAAATAAAGCCAATTTTTCCTTAATTGATTGTACATGATGACTACAATAAAAATTATCTACTTGGAGATGCTTAAAGAGAGGGATTTAATGTATTGGAATGAATAAGTTCTAACATATGTTTTGTCCTTGTTGTATTTGTATCAAGAAAGCTTTTTATCTTTTAGTGACCAGCTAAGCATTTGTGACAAATATCCTTGATTGGATTAATTTTAGGTAAGCCAACTACTCTATTTTTTAAGTATAAGTAATGCAAGCCTTAGTAGTTCAAATGCCCATATTTACAATGCCACAGTCTCATTTCATCATTGTTTATTACAGCATTTTGCATTATAGACGATGTTGTCTCCCATTTTGTAGAGACCATTGGCACTGTATTTGTTGCCAGATCCTATGATCAATCTATTACATGAGTTGTTGAAAACAAATCACTTATTCTTCATAAAAAAACAACCATGTTACCTCTGTCTATCAATGTACCTATTGGCATGAAATTTTTCTCGTGCATAATGGCCTTGTTTACAGCAGACGTAGCCCACAGCCTCGATTTGCCTTTTGTACTCTTGCCTCTTCTCAGACGGTGATCTTCCTCTGCTTGAGTGGCTGACAATGCCATGTCCTCGGCCTTCACTGTATGAGTTTCTTCCTCATCTCAAGGTGATTTTGGCTCCTCTGCAAAATTGCACTGGCAACGCTTCTTCGTCGTCCAAATGCAGATTTTGGTGCTGCAGCCTGTGGTGCACTATCAACAGCATCGCACTCATTTTATGAAACGTGGGAAACATCGCACTATATGTGATCGTGGGTATGATATTCTCATATGATCTTAGTAGACCATCGAGTACATCTTGGACTAATGTGCAATCGAACATCGGTTCTCCCAACGTAGCCAGACGATTCTTCAGATCTCTTACCCTGTTGAGGTATTCTTCCAATATTCCTCCATCTAGCATCTTCATCTTGTTTAGCTAATTTGTGATGAACAAGACCATGGATGAATCTCCCTTTTGATAAAGCGCTCTTAGTGTTTCCCACGGAAACGCAGAATCTTCGTGTTCTCTTATCGACCAGCAAGTCTTTCACTGACATAGTGATCGCTCTGCATGCCACGTAATTGTTGCTTTGTTACGTGTCTCCAGTTGGGTAGAATGACCAGAAACGTTGTTGGTGGGATCGCACTCTCAACTACCTCCCACAGGTTCTTACTCCAAAAAATGGCCATCATTTTTAATTTCCACACACGGTAATTACTGAGGCCCTCTAGTTTATTGGATTTGCATATCGACACATTTCTCCGTTCGACCATGTTCCCTCACAGAAGCTAATCTCGCTTTCTCACACTGTTCTGTTGCTCATCTTCTCGCAGGACAAAGGACTGCACTCACTAAAAGATACTGACTCTAATCTCTGAATAAACTCTAGAGTGTTTCCGTGTGAAGCCCTCGAGACCTGGCCTCCCATCATGGCTTAAGATCGCTTTGTTACCATGTAAACGATAAACTCTACTTCAGAAGGTGATTTTGAGTCTTGAGCCAAATGCTTATATACAAAGGATATCACATGTACCAGTGGTAGCGGCTCTTAATACAAATTTTGGTGCGTTTAAGCTTCCAGAGATGGTTCACACGATATGAACTGACTATGTTCGATGATATCATCCCTCAGATGATTGATATACAGGGGAGAGGGTGCTTCGTTCATTTCTAACAGAAGATGAGTGCTTTGAAAGCTTTGTACGCCCCGAATTCGAGCAGGCCAATCATCGAAGTTTGGAGATCGGGCATCGGAGCTAGGTTGTGCATGATTGCGATGTGGGTTCAGTCGGTTTAGCTGACGGAACTAGGCCTCAGGAATGACAAAAGTATGTATCTTAAACTTCACCACAGACGAGCCCACCACCTCGGCATCTTTTCAGGTGACGAGCCCGTTGCTCTCCTCCCCGGGTAACCTAGAGGCAGCAGAAAAAGACGTGAATGCTGTGTAAACAAGTCTTACAATTAATTGCAACCCCCTCTTGCAAAGCTGAGTGCCAAATTCAAGGCCTCGGGAATTCGCCATGTCTATTACCGGGTATGAGAAGTTACGAGTAAGCCAACACGTCGAAGAGTTGATCGCCGCAGCCAGGGGAAGTTAGCTCACACTTGACACACGTGTGAACAACAGTTTCCAAGCACCAAGACAAAGACAGCTGTAGTGGTGTAGGAATGTTAGAATTTTTTAAAACTTTTAAGAAGTTCTTTACAAATCTTTGAACAAGCGACTGCTGATGAACAGCGAACACCCGATTGCCCAGTTTTACTCGGTCTTTGTCATTCTTACGACTGATTTTAGTGCTTGTTCATCGACCAACTTAGCGAATTAGACAATTACTTCATACACTTGCACATTTCGTAATATCAGTGTACCTTAAAGATCTTTCGATGGGGCATATTAACAAGCTAATTCCTCTTCACGGATGTAAAATTCTCAAGCAGAAGCTTTATTTCGCTATGAGTATTGAAACTACAATATTCTGAATGATATCACTCAGAAAGCCTTGTGCAGAAACTTTGTGATGCACTCTCTATCTTGTGTACTTGTTGATTGTATCTAGAACTTCGAGAGGATGCCATGAAAGGGTGGATTTCATTAAACCCACTTTTCCACTGGTCGATGTTATAACAGTCAGACTTGGGGTTTTAGATACCTTGTTTCCAAGCTCAAAAACGCCATATTTTACTGGGTTGATGTCAAAGTTATACAATGATGATGTCCAGCCCCATCTGTCACCACAGAGTGGAAATCGGAACGATACGCACTGATCTCTTTGTGACTTATCACAGTGGATGAGGTTTAGATGCTATCGACGACGTTCAACTGTTATGCCGTTAATAACTGGTGGAGTTTCAAAGTTACCCTCGTGGGGATTTTCAATCGGGTTTTCACCAAACGACTTTCCACCCTCTATGAACAGTGACGCAGAATGATCTTCGTTGCCATACCACTTCAGAGTCCATCCCGAACCGAACTTTACGAGTCCTGAGGTTTCTCCCACTTTGAAATCTTTTCTGTACAATCTTGGGTTTAGGAGCCATCGCTATTCAGTCATCTCCCACCTCCTTACTCCCCCTTCGTGTCTGTGTCTGTGTCTGTTTTCTCTTAATCCTGTTTGGGTTTTGTGGTTCCAGAATCAATGGCCACCATGTCAATGCGAGTTGCGGCAGCAGCGGCAGCAGCGGCTGCCGTTTCATCGCCTGCCAAGTCTTCCACTGTGCACAGATTGGGCAGCCGTCAGATGGTTGGAGAGTTTCGAGGAGCGAGGGGGTTGGGTATGGCTGCGGTAATTGCTCCGGGTGCTAGGATGCTTTGGCGCAGTGAGGAGCAGAGGAAGGTGTTGAAGGCTGTCAATGGCGTCCGCGCCATGGCCTCTGCCAACGGTGTCCCAGCCCCTTCTGGCCTTCCCATTGATCTTCGAGGTACCTGACAATGGCGCAGCGACTAAGTAGAGCATAGCTTTTTTAGGAACCGCTTGCTGTACCACATGCTCATTTACTTCAATTTGTATTTTGTAGGGAAAAGAGCGTTTATTGCCGGTGTGGCGGATGACCAAGGTTTTGGCTGGGCCATTGCCAAAGCTCTGGCAGCAGCTGGAGCTGAAATTCTTGTCGGAACCTGGGTGCCGGTAAGCTATTTTAACCTTGTTGAATTTGATTATTCATCACCACTTGAATTGCCACTCTTAGGTTATTATGACAAGTTTAATTTGATCGAGCCTCTTTTTGGACAATGCAGGCTCTTAACATCTTCGAGACCAGTCTCAGGAGAGGCAAGTTCGACGAGTCCCGGCAGTAAGTGCCTCCGTAACTTGGCTTGAACGATTTCGTTAGCTTATGCGTTTAGAGGAATGCAATGTGGGTGAACATAATCAATCACGAATGCTTGTCAACTCAAATTTTCGGGTGATTTGCAATCTTCACACCGAAAGACATCAGACTTTTTAACGGGGAGGAACTGCGGTTCTCCCGTACTGTTTGCACGCGTATTTTGTCAGGGTATTATAGGATCTGTATTTGATGTACTTGGTAAATCCCGCATCTTATCGCTGTAGTTGTTTCCTTAGGCTTCCCACCGGAGGATTACTCGAGATTGCCAAAGTGTATCCCTTAGATGCTGTATTCGACACTCCTGAAGATGTGCCTGAGGATGTAAGTGGAACTGCCCCCTCTATGTTACATTAAGGACCCTACTGATAAATCCTAAGAATAGGGTTTGTGTTCTTTTTCATCGTCGGTAAAATAGTTATGACAGCAATTACTCTAAAGTTGAAGGTTGCATTCGATATGCATTAGTTTTTGCATTTTAACAAGTTTGGGTCTTTGTAACTAATTTCTGCATAACCCTCCGTAGGCGATACCTTACTTTTCAGCACTTCGTGTGACATGATAGAAACATTCTTGTGCGATTAATGTTTACAGTAGGGTCTTGTTCTTAATCCATTGCATTCATGAGGTTGCCAATTGTTGTATTCAGATCAAGAACAACAAGAGATACGCTGGGTCAACTGCTTGGACTGTACAGGTGATTTTTCAACGTCTCGTTTCATCCTTCGATTTCTGGAATGGTGTCACAGCATCTTTGTCTGAGGAACAGGGGAGTGAATGCATCATTTCTTTTGGCAGGGGCATACAGCTTAAAGCTAGAGTACTTTTTGTAGTAATCCTTTTTTTTTTACAAACGACCGTACACCTCTGTAATATTTTTTGCTGTTCCTGGTAGCTAGGAGCGAATTTTGCTTCGAATAAGGAGTCATGTTGTGCTCATTCCCAAGATAGGTGTTTTTAATTCTGCTATTTGAAATTTTCCTGAATTTTGTTAAGGAATGTGCCGAAGCCGTGAAAGCTGACTTCGGCTCCATCGACATCCTGGTGCATTCACTTGCTAATGGGCCTGAAGTAAGAACTTCATCTAGCAAGCAAAGGCCACAAGTGGCCATTGTTTTTCGAACTTGCTTTTGTTTGTTTGTTTGTTTTTTTTTTTTTTTTTTTTTTTCCTCTTTTTTTCTCTTTTTTCTTCAATTTATTTACTTGGATATTGTTCGATATTGTGTAAACATGAACCTACGGTGGTTTTTGCTGAAGTTGGGCCTAATATGCTATTCATTTCACACTGTCTCCAGGTAACGAAGCCACTTATGGAGACCTCGCGCAAAGGTTACTTAGCTGCTGTCTCAGCCTCTACATACTCCTACGTCTCACTTTTGAAGTACTTTGCTCCGATCATGAACCCAGGTACGGAACGACTGTCTCAAATATTAGTGTTATGTTTTCAAAAGAGTCACTTTCTGTGTGCACCCATTGAAGTCATGATCACATCTGTGTGATGCAGCTGTTCAGGTAGGTTTTGTATCATTCTGTCCCTCTGTTTAACTTCATATCATGATTGTGCTCTACATTTAGCTTTCAGGGTTGATGTCCTCCGGATAAACGGTGGTCGGCTTGTCTGTGCCTCCATCTGTTTGCGTAGTCGTAGTGGCCGACGCATCGAGTATGATTTTGACTTTAAGTAATGTATAAAAGAAGTATCTGAAATGGACATGCTAGCGTGTTGTCTAGAGCTTTATGAGCTGATGCAAATGATGGTGATGCTGAATGGATTCAGGTGGTTCTGCACTTTCTCTTACTTACTTGGCGTCTGAGAAGATTATCCCTGGGTAAGATTGAGAAAGTCAGTTTTACGCATAAATTAAGATCTTGCACGCCTCTATTTCGTCATGGGTATTTTAGCGAAGTTTTTCGAGCAGATAAAAAGTTTTAGAAATTACCCTAATTTGTTAGAATACCCGTAGTAATATTTGTGCGTGGTATTTCGTCTCTCTTTTGACGGAGACTTACATTACATTAGTTTCTTACCTGTGTACAAAAATGTTTTCAAAACGTAGATAAATTTCTGTCGTTTATATCATTTCTCTGCGCTAGTCAAGCCTACATGCTGCTTATTAGCCGAATCTATTTGTGCATATGACAGATATGGTGGAGGAATGAGCTCTGCCAAGGCTGCACTTGAGAGTGACACACGTGTAAGTTTTTGCATAAGGTTATCTCGCAGTGGAGGATGTCTCTGTAGGTCATATCGAGGACGTAATTTGTCCCAACTGTAGTTGCACATCTATCTTTTGACTTCTCTATTCCTTCTTTCCATTTAAAAACATAGTGTCATCCTTGAAATTTTATTCTCCAAGGCAATGACACAGAAAAGACGCGAAGTCTTTGATGTCACGAAATGACTCATTAGCAGTGGATTACTTGCTAGTCTGTTATTAGTGGTCAAGTTTATATTCCAGACAGTTTTCATGGTGAGTTGATCTACTGGTGTCTGCTCCTTATCAGGTGCTTGCATTCGAGGCTGGCAGGAAGTATGGCATTCGGGTTAACACCATTTCAGCAGGTAACCAACTGTCTCTTGACGTACTCATGACTGGGCTTTCAAGACTTCGGCAGCCAGTTTTATTTCTGTTCTTTCACATCTTATGCTAGCATTAGTGTCTACGCTGGTCATGGTATTTAGATGTTCTCTATGTCAATGACTTTACCGTAAAGAAGGCAGTTGTTGTGGATTATACGAAATAGACGAGTATTAGATTCTGCTTGTTGAATTTGGTGTCGTGATCAACAGAATCAGGTTAAATCCACATTTCAACAACCATGAGATGTTTTCCACCGACTTAAGTGGTTCCTTATTTTAATTTATTGCAGGTCCCTTGAAAAGCAGAGCGGCTAAGGCTATTGGTTTTATTGATGACATGATCAACTACTCCTCTGCTAATGCACCATTGCAAAAGGAGCTGGAAGCAGGTGAGGTTGATAATTATGTTGTGTTATATCAGGCTCTTCGTTGTCTCAATAATGCAGGGTTGACAATCCTCAATGGAAAGTACACTTCACATTTTATACACGTCAGACTTGTTTAATGCTGTTTGAACCTTCCTCTTTCTCTGTTTTCAAGTCTATTCTGACAATATCACTATCGTGTGTTGATGTACAGATGATGTAGGACATGCAGCTGCATTCTTGTCATCACCATTGGCTAGTGCTGTAACAGGTACACTGCTCTATGTCGACAATGGTCTGCATGCGATGGGCCTGGCAGTTGACAGTCCCTGCGTTGCAAAGGCAGCCACTCCAGCCACTCTCTAACTTTGCTTCACAACTTTCATCCAACATGTTGCAACTTGATTTCTAACTTTCTGTCACAGGGTTTAAGCATTGAGTTGGATATACTCTTAAGCTGCCCGTACATGATGTACTTAGTTGTTGGAATTTGAGGAGTTGAAGATCGATTTCTAAGATGACTTGACAACAGGCGAGTAAGATTGAGTACTTTCCCTTAGGTTTGTTTCGCTGATTCTGGCAACTTGAAGACATTTAGAACAGCGGACAAAGATTCCGCAGTTGAATGACTCTAGTAGAGTCTGTACACTTTCTCCTGTCCAATGAGAGTTTCATTACAGTTTGCAAAGCGCGCTCTGAAAAAAGCTTCGATTTAACCCTTCAAAGTTGCCGATAGGCATTTTGTGCAGTAATTAAATAAACGAACAACAACACAGAAGGACGGATTTCAGTGATTTCGTAGAACAGGTGTCCAGCTAGGCCTGTACTACTTCATCCGTCAGTCATCCGTGCGTGTTATGTAGATATTGGGTAACTGCCTCCAATGTTGTAAATATCATCCATATGTGTTACATAGGTGTTGGATGGCTGCCTCCAATTTTGTATATAGCAAACTGTTTACTTATGGGCAACCAATTATTGGGAATCCTTAAAGTATTAGGAGGGGTGTAAGGAGGAGTCTAGGGTTGAAGGTTTGGGATTTCAAAGAAAATACCCAAAATCATCTCTTATATAAAACAGTTCAAGGGAATAAACCAACAATAGAAATCAGAGGAAACAAAAATCAACTTTGATTGATTGCATATATCATTTATCATCAGAAGTGAAGCTATAACTAAATTTTTGATAAATTTGAGATCAAAAGCTGCATGATGTTGCAAACTGTCGAAAGCAGCACTGCAAGTTCACTAGGTGTAGAGCTCACAAGCCCCCAATTAAGGTTGTGAAAAGCAATGCTACCTTTCACAACTATTACATGAAATTATGTTTTTCACTTCAAATATTTTATTTTTTTCAAGGCCAATAGCATAGATTACTTGATGTATATTTAAAATGTATAAATATAATGCACATATTTGATCTTATTCGTAGCCAATAACATGGGTTTCTACTAGTTTATAAATAATTAGACAAAGTTAAGAGTTTAGGATTTATTAATATGTTTTGGTGCAAAGAATCATTATAAAGTTTTGTTCAAGAGTACCATGTCTAGTTGGGTATGTATTTTTTCATAGCTCGAATTTGCACTATTTTAAATATAAACATTATACAAAATTCTACAATGATGGCAACTTATTAATTATGGTCCTTTATCTTTTTGTCATGTGACCAAAGAATATTTGAAATTCAAGGAAAAGATAAGAATTTAGTTTTAACTATTATTATTTATGAATTTTTTTGCTAATCAATACACATTTTAATTTATATGTTATTTGTATAAAGTTGACAATAAATTACTAAAGAGAAAATATTCAATTATTAAGCTTTTTATTATTAAGGATTGTTTACCTATTTGTCTAGTAATTAGAAGTAGGAAAGTAATAGAGATTATTTAAATAAGATTCATTTTTAACTTGCAAATTATGTTATGTTTATAATCATTCATGTGTCAATTTGTTAATATAAAATTACATTATTCAAAACAAGTTTTGTAAATATTAAAAAAATATACAATGTACTATTTTTTTCTTAATTTGATAGTATTGTTTCATATACTATCACAAAATTAAATATGGAAAAAAATTTATCAATAAAAAATACATATATTTAAAAATAAAATAGAACAAAAATATATAAAAAAAAGATATATTAATGATGTTAAATTTATTGCCAAATTTGTGCTTAAAATATATTTTTTAACAGAATTTTTTGTTTTTTTATAATATTACTTTTGTTTCTTTATTTATTAAATAAATTTCTATATCATAAATAATTTGTATTTGACAAAATAATCAAATTCCAAAATCTATCTAAATCATAGCAATAAATTTCTACTAAAAATATTTAATCTTTATTTTTTTTTTTGTTAACTTTGCAATTTTATTCTTGCTTTGTTAAATATATGTTAAATATATGTTATCTTATGAGGTTTTTATACTTGAAGGAAAAGGCAAGAGACCTCAACTTTTGAAGCTTTTCATTTTCTAAAATTAAGAAGCCTCATTTAATTGGCTTTATAGAGAAATATTGATGCAAAGGTTGTAAGAGAAAACAACAAGGTAGAACATTATTATTATTATTATTATTATTCCTATTTCTACATAAAATGAATAATTTTTTTTAAAAAATCTCTAATAGGTTTATGTAAAAGATGTGGTTCTTTTCCAAAATTTGAAGATTGTTGTCAAACATTACTAAAAGTGAACATAAATATGAATAAAGTAACTAAGTTTTATTATCATAATTGTTTGAATCAAAATATAAACTAACATGTTTAGACTTCTCATAAAAGATAATCACTTGGTATATTTTATGGTCTCTTAATATTATCTCCAAAATCTTCCAATAAATATTTTTCTTTTTTACCAAGTAAAAATACTTTATAATAAATTTATTCTATTCCCATTCAAAGTGAACCTCTAAACATAAAAAAATCCCTTAATTTAATTATTTATTCTTCTTTCCTGATTAAAATTTTATTACAAAACCATGAAAAATGTGTACATGGTAGTACCATTATAAATTGGATTTTAGACAATTTCAACTGGAGCATGACATGAGTAACAAAATTGCTTTCAAATTTTAATAATGACATTTCACTTCCACTTATTGAAGGGATAAAAAGCCATTTATTACTTTTTAATACTACATAGGAAATGAGTAGACATCAACTTCCATCATTGCCAACTTTGACAAAAGTTACATTCAAAGCCACCGACTTTACATTTTAAGATTCTCCAATTATATTTTTCCACAAAACATTCCCATCTTGAACTCTATAATGTTGAAAGCCAGTACAAGTCAAAGCTGATGATATTGTCTGTCTGCGTCTATATTGTTATGTGTGCATGAAAATATATATATATATATATATCAAAGAAAATAGCTCTTCGAATAGAAAATCGCTGAGCCATAAGATTGTTGCAGAATACATTGCAACAGAGGGATAATATTGACTGCCTCTGGTTGCAATACTCCACAGAATAGCACAATAATAGAATGGAAGATGGAGTAGAAACTGCCTGTGAATGCCAACTAACGGCCTTCCGTAGCCTGAGAAATCTCTGTTGACTCTTCCGATGCTCCAAAATCCCTCCACGTGCTGCTGCTACTGCTGTTGCACTTCACGACTGTCAGTGGTCTCATTAATTTCAACAGCAAATTGCTGGTTGTTTTAAAGACGAGTTCGTTCGTTCTGGGAAGAGTGCCGAACTCGCACAGAACATCTAAGAGTGATGTCTGAAAACATTCCTCTGGCAAGCACAAGATAATTCCCACAAATTTTCCCTGACATGCACACATACACATACGTGCTGGGCTGGCACTAGTACGAAATCGCAAGAGCCGGCGGTGTCAAAATGGGGAGTTATACGATGCTTTCTTCCTGTAATGCGCTTGCAGTTCAGGTGTGTGGTGGACATGATTGCATGCTTTCAGGTTACACGCGTCCACTGGAGAACTCTTTGAAAGCGTAACTTTAAGTACATATCTACCAACAGTAAGGTCCTACTCCGAAACAAAGTGTTCCGTAAAGAATTGCACTCATTTCACTCGTACGCACAAGGCGCCTCGACTTTTGCGTATGAAGACGTGCACGTGGAATTTCTCTCATAATCCACTGTAGAGCATTTCCAACACGAACTTTGTAGTCGTGGAGAGAAGTTTTTAGTGCAGCTTAACGAATTCATGTTAAAAGAGGACCACCAGAATCAAGGACCTAGCAGCATTGGTCACGCACAGGCATGGTTGCGACCAAAAAGAAGTGATAATGCCTTAATGTCGCTCTGAACTTTTACGAAGATCCACACAGAAATCTATCAAGAAATGACCCTCACCCCTCGTATCGACCTGACTTCCGAACAAAGATGGGGACTGCTGAGAACATGAGGAAGAATCAGCCAGTTTTGCTGCTGTTCACCCAGAGGATCGACAATGGATTTCACGCATGCGTATTCAGCACTTCCCACGCAGCGGTTTTAACACAAAGTGGTGATAAATTCGAATCAGCCAGTAGTCACAGTAAAACTTCTGCATCGGTTCGGGCAAAAGTGGTGGTTAGCAATGAGTCGTGAGTATTCGTTAGAATTATCACGAGATGCACCATTATTCGACATCCTTTGCACAATTCAGCAGTCATGCATGAAAAAATCTTGGTAGCTTGATGTCATGCGGTAATGTCTGCAGGATACAAGCTACCATTCACCACGTAAAGGGTTAATCTAACCATAAACGTGCAACAGTGATTATATTTGCAGCTGAGAAGAGTAAAGAACTGTGCCGACTTGGCAACATGACAAAGTTAGTTGCAAAGTGTGATGTTCGCGTTACAAGTAAACTTCAAAGGAAATGCAGAGTTTAAATCGAACGGACTCTGCATGAAAAGGGAGCAAAGCTCATAAAGATAGCCCATGGCAAACCCAGAAGCAAGTCCACTTAAAGAGAATCGGAACAATGGCGCACATTTCACACAATTGTCAAGAATAAGAAATACTAACAGAGTGCAAATTCCTTGAAAACAGGTATATTTGTCACACCGAGAGCGAATGAAATGAGCAAAACATTTGCATGACGCATGCCGCTTCTGTTGACTCATTGCAAACGAGGTGCAATTCTTTTGTATTCCATATTATCTAAAATAGCACAAGACTTGTGAATCTGTGGCGACACAAAGTACAGAATGAAGTGCCAGTTGAGGAGAAGCTGGATAGCTCGTTTCATCAGTATTCATTGTAAATAAAGAGGGAATGGTTTACATGTGATATGAACTCCAATCATATCATTCCAGAATGTTTCATGACAGAACCTTGACCCTAAAATTTCGACTGACGAAAACCCTACTTATATCCACTACAAACTACGCAGTTTCCAATGCTATCATACCGATAGCGAATGCCGGGTTCTAAAGTGTCTATCTTCTGGGACAGCAAACCCAGAACATGCTTCTGTATCTTCTCCATTACCAGACCTCGAAACGCTTCGACAGCTATAGAGAACAACCTCGAAAGAAATTGTAAACATAGCTTTACTAGCTATGCCAGACAGAATGACCAAGAAGAATCTAAGGAAAGCTAACATGCATTAAGAAGACATCCACTGCTGACTCAGCGTCAGCAATTTCAGCCGGTTTCCGCATTTAGGAGCAGCTCAATTCGTAACGTTGAAGAGGCAACAGTCAATCACCGCCTTCTAACCTTAAAAGACTCAG